CTAATTAATCTGATGGAAGGAGGAGAACCATCAACAGCCTCAGATGTACCAATGCCAACCCCAAACTGAGAAGAAATGACTATGTGTGAAAATTCAGACTATTTCCTCTTTTTCCTCCTCAAATTAGCAGAAAACCTCTGACTTGCCAGCAGAATTAAAAACCTGTTCTGCAGAGTGGGTAACAACTGCATCCAAGACATTTTAGCATCAGCCCTCAAACCAACACAAACTGATGCTGGCTATAGGCTTTCCAGGTAATATGGCAGCTCCAAAAGCAGAAGGTCCACTGCTACAAATAGTCATGCTTTTATTATAAGCAGTCTCATTACAAGTATGTTGCTATTATTGTGACAGCTACTTATTTGTAATTAGTATTTGCAACACTAAAATACACTTCAATTAGTAGAGTCCCTTTTACATTACCCTGTCACTACAATATTGTTGGGGTTATGTACCACCAGCCTGAAGATTTTGCCTCCACTGAAATTGCTGTTAAATCCAAGGCCAGTGTACTTTCTCCTTCCTGATACAAACAATGGTTACTAGCTAATTAGTAATTACCTAAGAGAATTTCACTTTGCAGAACAACATTTCAACCAAAACTAAACAGCACATTCACTTACCTGTTTGCTTTTAGAAGCTGATGACAAATACATCCTAATGTACTGCTCAGCTAGAACCAGGAAAGGAAGTGGGATCTTAAAATGTAATTATTTCCTCTCTTCATTGTCTGTCTACACTACCTCAGCATCTCAGACAGACTTTGTATAGCAAATATGGTACATTTGATTGTGCTGATCAGTTACTTTAAATTACATATTTTCTGCACTCAAAAGCATAGTTTCATAACTGGACCAAAGCTGTCAATGCTGACACCATAAATATCCAAACCGGCAATGAAGAAGCAGAACCATGAAACCAGAGCCAAGGGAAAGCAGAAAAAAAGCTCTCCTCTTCAATGCAAGCAAACCATTCCAGCATATCATCCACTTGTCTTAGACTACAATATTTATCTTCCACACTATGTAAAACATCTCATTCACAATACGCAGTTTTTTGTTCTTTACAGCACAATCAATGCATTATCAATGCAGTTAATGCATTAACTACTTCAGCAGGATTAGCTTTCAAGAAGCTGTTGCCTGCTATCTCTTCATCAACTAAAGATTGCTCTCAAAAGATGTAGTCAGTGGCAAAAAATAGCAGCAAACTTGTCTACATCACTTGTCAGTGCAAGACAAATGAAAAACTAGTGTAGGTTCTTTCAATTGCATTCTGCCATGTACATTCCACATCCCACTACAGCTACTCAACAAGTATTAGCAAAAGTCAAAGGCTTCAAGGCATGTTCTATTTATTCCTACAAATATTCTTTTAGAATACCACATAAGCTCCCCAAACTCCTGAACACGCTTAAAAATGTGTCATGCTTTTGTCTGTTTCTGGGCCTTATCAAAACTGGATGAGTCGCTCTGAGAATTTCAACCACTACATAATGGAATTAACTCCCTGAATAGCTTGTTTTCCTACATAAATCAGAGCTAAACCCAGACAATCAGAATTTGAGCACTGTTCTAGCTCTTCTACTAAAACATGCCAATCTATGCTAAAATGAAAATACAAAAGGCAACAGACAAGACTCAGTAAGGGATTTCATTTCAATATAGGAAGAATATTCTTCATGGTGAGTGTGGTCCAGCATAGGAATGTATTAAACAGAGGTGTCAGAATCTTCACTCTTGAAAACATTTTAAAAGTGGTCTGGAAAATATTATTTCAGTGCTGACCTAACCCAAGTTGGAGACTGGATCAGAGAACTTCTAGATCTAAAACAATCCTACAAATCAATATATCTCTCAGCTGGGCCCACCATCTCAGAACAAGGACCACACTATTTCTAAAGCTCATTCCAGGGAGTTTGTTTGCCTTTTAAATTTTAGTTAATATTCAAAAGATGAAAACAATGAGCACTGTCACTCTCAGTATTTCAATCTGCTACAGACACAATGTGAAAAACACTACCAATTAAAGGAACAGTAATTTGTGAATTAAAATGCTTAAGAGCTTAATCAGACTAAACTCTTGAGTTTGGTGTACAATCACTGATTCTTATAATCAGTAGAAACATTAGTCTCCTTTAACAACTGCATCAGCTAGTTAGTTCATACATTCCTTCCCACTATTCCATGTATTGGTTCATTTGAAAGATGCCTTGAATGAACAGTACAGTTAGAACTTTCAACTCTCTCTCTCAGAAACTGTAATTAAAAAAGATTGGAAAACTCTTCACTAATTAAGAAAGCAGTCTAACTAAAATGCTTAAACTGAACATTATGTTTAAAATAAATAAAAGACCATATATAAAGGGCTGTTACTTTCAAATTAGCTGTCTTCATAGCCTAATGGGGTTCTGCTTCTCTTATAGCCCAACCTGTGTGTCTTTGAAGTGGCACTTTTTTCAGACCTTTTACTTTCCACCATTTAAGTGACTACAGCCTTAGCTTGCATTTGGCATACTTAAGATCAGAAGGGTGATCTCTACCCTGGTATATTAAATGCTGAGTTGTCTTCTGGTTCGGGGCTTGTTCTGGCTTTTTTCCTCCTCTTTTTTTTTTTTTTTTAAATTTAAACATATTCTAGAAGAAATCACTAAGTGAGTCAAGAGGGAGACACATTCACAATAAGCAACTATTCTATGATTTGGTTCCTCAAAATGTATTAAAACATGTGCTGCCTCAATTATTTCTTCCCAAGCACAATGGTTTTTTGGACTTTGTTACTACCCCACTACCTCTTTAAGTTAATAGCCACCAATTAATACTTCAGGATACTCAATACTTATAAGATGCTTTCCTGTATCTTTTGATTAAGAATTTCAGGTAATTTTTAAACAGGCATATATTAAAAAAAAAAAAAAAATCCCCATTTTTGTGGCAATTTCACACCTGGTCATGACGTGCTACCTTGATCTATCATATACAAAGCGACTATGCACAACCTTTTCTCTTACAGCTAGGTACAAGTGGCTATTTCAGTGAACTAAGAGTACAGTTTCATGACATATTTAATCCAATTAAACTACTTATTTGTAGTAGTACTACTCTGAAACTAACTTATTAACTATAACTACTATATTTTTATTTGCAGGATTATTTCCCAAAGCAAAACTAGTTACCACTGGAGTGGTTATTAAAATATTATAACATAGGCAATACCTTGAATCTGAGCTAAGCAATGTGTCAGAATTTCCTCTAAATTGATGATTTTTAGCCTTCTTGTGATAACAAGGCTGATGAACTCTTCTGCATACATACTCTACAGGAACTACTGATGCAAATGGTAAGCATAAACCAAATGTGTCATGGTTTACTGTCCACTAAGTTACACATATGTTCTCCAACAGTTTCGTGAAGGATTACAAGTACTCTGGCCTTATGAAAAGCTTCATCATGAACATATATTCTATAAAAAATAAAACACTTAAGAGATAGGAGAAGTCATTAAAAAGCAAATTACAAGGGAGAAACACCACTTAGGGCTGCAGACACTGATGTGTCAACAGAGAGCAGCCCTTACGCAAGCAATGCCACTGCAGTCAACCACCATTCCAAAGACTGCTCTCTGCTCCAGTATGAAACATAATTACATACAGTATTTTACAGCAGCTACAATCCTGTGCCGTATGCCTAGATGTTGCTAGGGAATGCTCCTATCTTAGATATTAAGAATTCTAACCTTCGGTCAGATTTGGTAGGAGCACCTGTTTGCCCTCCGCATAGTTAACTCCTGACTTAGGCTTGCCTTGATCATAACACATACTTTCCTTCATCAATTACTGTTTCCAGTCTGCTTTTAACAGTTGAAGTAATCTCTCCAAGCACAGTTCCTCATTACTGCACAAACATATCAGACAAAAATTGCCAGCTTTAACTTTCAAGCATCACCCCTACTTTATGCTGGCATTGCTACAAAAAGAAGCCCTTTTACTTGCACCTGCGCTATCATTTCCCTCCTGACAGCAGGAGAATTTTTGCAGCCATTGACAGAAGCAAGGAAGTTCTCTGGCTGAAAATATCTTGCTGCTTTTGACTGAAGAAAGTGAGCATCCAGTCATTCTGGCCCCACCTAAAGACACTGACCCATGGCCTTAGGCAATCCAATTTTCAACTCCTTGTGACAGTACTAAATGCCTACGTCTGCAGATCAGTTTCTGGGTGTGCTCAGTTCATATTATTTTTTTTTTTTTTAATGCTCTCCTCACTCAGTAAGTCAGAGCAGTTCAGTTTTACTGACACACAAGACACAAGGGAAACATGTCAGCTCGAGGGCTCACAGAACTCATGTTTTCTTCAATCATGCTCCCCATCTGATTTCTTTTAAATTATAAATATTAGTTTGCCTCCTACAGCATTTTGTTTCTTGCTTTCTCCCCGAACAGTTCATTCACATTCACAATTTAAAACTACGTTGCATTAAAATCCTTCTCAAGAGTTTCTACCATTATTATATACTGACCAGGCAGATACTGAAATCTCCCTCAGACAAGGAAAAAAGAAAGGAAAGAATGAGGCATCAAGAAGCTCTTGGATATCAAATAGAAAGAAATGGTCCTTCACTCCCTTTTGCTTCCTGGAAAAACTTGAGAAATCTTAATTTATCTTCTTGCTCTGCTCTTTTTAAATGAGAATCTTCTATTTTTCTGCATTAGAAAACTAGCAAAGCAAAGCAACTGCCAGTATTCAACACCCCTTACTCTATCTGCAAGCACATTAAAAACTTTGCAGCTCAGAGTTTACAAGTAACTCTTGATCATCCAGAAGCCTTTCAGAAAACAATCAAAGTTGTGTTCCTTAACATCTAAAATAATCTTAAACAATCTGCTTCAGAAATTTAAATAACAATCATTAGAAAACCCACAAGAACTCATGTGGTCATGACAAAACCCCCCAATCATTTAAAAGTTTGTGTAACTAATTATAGGTTGATTAAACATGAAGTACCTGAGCAAGATCCCACAACAGCACTGTTATAGAAATCAAGCTTATTTCAGATTTTCTATGAGACGAGGAAGGAGAGCATCAATTTGATGACTTCTTTCTTCCTAATAGCACACTGCCTTCAGATTTATTTTGACATTATCTCATTTTGTGGGAGTTCTTCATTTAGAACATTTACTCATCAAACACTGGTATGGATGCTTCTCAGTTTCATTCTCTTCAGTAGAGAAAAACAAAAATGTTATGTCTGTTAAAAAGAAAACAAGATTTCAATATAAATAATTAGTTTTTCAATACATTTTCTTACACAAATTTAACAATAGATTACAAAAAAGTAACAGAACATAATTTGTTTTCAGACAGTCCTTAAAAGACAAATCCATACTGGAGTGTTCTATCTATATAAGCATGACTGCAACTTTCAAAGCTATTCTTCCCTTCAAAAAAATCTTTCTGTGTCCCCACTTCAGGATTTAGAGAAGTAAAAACAGACATTAAATCATTACTGAATGCCACTTAAGGAGTAAGAGTAACCCATTTAAAAGAAAAAACCTTTCAATTCCCTACATTACCACTTTCTTCCAGTACATTTCAATACTTGATACTTCTAGAAAAATACCAGTTTGGAAATAAAAACAAGAAGTTCTCAAGTGGTTGTCCACTTGGGTGCAGAAGGGGAAAGAGAGAACAGGGAGATCATAACCAAATATTTCATATTAAAGACAGAACCAAATTGGCAGTAACTGAAACTGACATCTCACTTCACTTTGGGCAACGTGAGCCGTACACCATGCACCAGGTAATGCAACTATTTGCTTTTCACTTTGATATCTGCATCTATAAATACTTCTAACATTTGCATGGATGAGTAAGATTATTTGGCTCAAAAAACAAATAAAACATTTTAAAACTCCAAGCAACACCACAGCAACAAAAAGTTTCAAGCTTGAATTTGATCATACATTTTGCAAGTCACAATTAAAACCATCCCACGTTCCTCACAGCAAACCAAGCCTGGTTATTTGTCAGGAGAAAGTTTTATGCATAAAACTTGAGCTTCACCTTTGAGTTGCTCAAATGCATACCTCCAGAATTTCTCCTTTCACACTCATTCACAGACACCCAGAGGAATTAGATGACTCCCACACACATTCCAATTAACCTCTGTTGCCTAACACCTCCATCTCTTAAAAATTTAGCTTTTTGATATCCTGGATAAATCTGGCAGAAAAAGTAACATTTGCTAGAAACACTCCAGACATGTCTCCACAGGAAAAATAATTTATGATGCGAATTTGAAGAACACAGTCAATTCCACCTGAACTTGTTTTGTGGACACACCTTTTATACTCTAGAACCTAAAATAGCCACAGGTTCTTCTGTTCAACCCATACCTGCAAAAGCAACACACTCCACACAGGAAACACCCTGATGCACAACAATTCAGGTTCAATAGTTATTCCATACTCTTTCCCTGCTTAGGCAAATAGCCTAAAAGCTTAACTTTGAATTCCAAAAATCCATAATTCCAAAATGAGCTTCAAATGATGAAAGTAACTGTAAGAGTTACTTAACAAACAATCATTTAAAATTTCACAAAATAACTGGGTCTAATGTATGGCTTCCTTATTCTGTAAGGTATACAGTGATAAATCCACATGCACGTAATATTATATGTTGCTTAAAAAGGGAAAAAAATACAGATACTACTTTTCCAGAAGCTTGACTTAATACAGGAAACTAATTAGAAAGAGTTGATCTTGGAAAAAACCAAAGAAAAAGGTAAAGGGGAAAAAAAAAACCAAACCAAACATGCAAGCCCAAAAACTCCACCATCTTCCAGTGAAAAAGAAAACATCTCCCTTAGGCTGTGGAAGAGAACTGCAAATACTAAATGAGGTCTTCGGACCGTATGTCTCCTGGCTTCAAAGCAAACATGAATATCTGCTGTTTTATTCTTAACATAGTTTAACCCCCAGGAATGGTTAAATTATGTTAAGACTAAAACAACGTATGTCGATCTCTTCTCCCAATAATTACTGGATTTAGCTTTGCACTAAACACATTGGCAATAAATACTCATTAGAAACATGGCACAAACTAGTGGACATACAAGTGGAAGAAGTTAACACAAAGGACAGAATTTACACTGTCTTGTTTATATACTGTAACACTAAAAAAGAGACAATAATACCGACTTTAATCCATTTGCCATGGTACAGTTCCATGGGTAAATCAAGTATCTGCAACACATACCCATACGACTTCTTATAGAAGCAGCAAAATTAATTCCAGCTCCAGAATTTTTAATCTTATTAGTAAAAACGAAATCAGACTACACACCAAAAATATAAAGCTTGCCAGATCCACTCATGCTAAGAAACATGGAAAGGAAACCAGCACACATTAAAAACATTAAAATTATATATGAGTTATAAGATTTGAGTTTCTTTCCTTTCAAATACTTTGTTTCTTTAAATTATATCTGATGGCTTTGGGATTTAAACTGAACATGCAGGCTGTGAATAGAGAATGCATGGCAGGAAAAACTGAACTAACCATGTAAAAGGCAGAATGGAAAGAAGCCAGATACAACAAATAACTGACAAGGGAAATAGGCCTGGTTCTAGATCAAAAAAACAATTTAAAGAAATCATACCCTCCTGTAAAGATTTATTTTCAGTTCATATCCAAAAAAGCCTA